GGGATAGTGCCCAGGCCCAGAGTTCAAGCCCCACGACTGACAAAATAAAATAAAATAAAATAAATAAAATAAAAACATGTCCACAATAAAAGCATCTTCACATAACACAGATGATCTCAGGCTGAGGGGGAAAGGTGGGGAAAAAAGAGAGGTGTCTAAAAGACTCTGCATTTTAAAAATGATCTTTGCTCCATGCAATATTACTCTATCCATAGGAAAACGTCACATTATGTATAATAATTTAAATTTCAGATAAACTAGCAAAACATTGGATTGACATTTTAAAAGGACAAGGAAATAATTTATAGAAATATGAAATTTGGCATTAATTGATGAAAAACAGATAGATGAAGGTTCTCCAAAGGCCAGACTCAGGTTAAAATCAGAAAGTAAAAAAAAATAATGCAGGTATGCTCTTCCCACCACTCTGCCTCCTTAAGGTTAAGAAACAAGATTAGGAAATGGGGGGGGGGGGAGACAAAGCTATGGAATCTCCTTTGAAATGGTAAAACTCGGGGAACTTAGTGGATGAATAAAGTCTGTCCAGGAGGCCACTTGGGTTATAAGAATCCACTCATTTTATGAAGCAGTAGTCAAGTAGAAGAATTTTCTGTTGCCAACAGATAAAAAAAAAAAACAACAACAACAAAAGCAGGGATATTTAGTTATCAGGGAACTGTTGTTTGATCCTCGGGAAAAACAAAACCCTTTCAAGAACTGAGCTCATTGAGCAAACTGAGACTAAATATCAACTTTCCCAGAGTCTGTTGTGGCTGCCAATAAGCACCAATTCCTCAGACAGGAAGTTATCTTCACTCTTAATTGTCTATGTGCAAATAATCTAATTAATATTCCTGCTGCAGACTTTCAGCAAACAGTGAAGTGAAACATGATTCAATAGTATAAAAAAATGACAGCTTAAGTAAGCTTAAGGTAAGGAGAAAACACAAAGAATTACAAGGTATAGCTTGAAGGCTTTCTTCTGGATAATTTGTCACCCCATGAGATTCATTTAAGAATATACATAAGAACTGGACACCAGTGGTTCACACTTGTAATCCTAGCTACTCCAGAGTCTGAGATCTGAGGATCCTGGTTCAAAGACAGCCGGCAGAAAAGTATGTGACACTCTAACCTCCAATTAACCTCTTCCAAAAAAAAAAAAAAAGCCACCAGTAGCAGAGTACTAGTGTTATACCAAAATTCGGGGACCCCTAGAAGACCATGATCAATGTAAGCAACAAAGAGCCGGTTTATTGCAAGCTCGAGCTTGGTCCTCCTCGCACATGGTAACCGGTGACGCTAAGAGGCCCTGAACATAGAATCACCACAGTTTTTATAGTATTGATCAAACAACTTTAAGGAACTTTTACATAAGAAATTACATGATTGGTTAACATTTACATTTAAAGCAATGGTTGACCTTTACAGAAAAATGTCCTTGGTCCATAGCTTGACAGAAAACGGTTACGAGTCACACCCGGACCAACAGAATGCATGGCATGTCTTGCCCCGGGCTCTGAAGAATGGGTTGGTTAGAAACTTAGTCCTAGGTGGCTGGGGGGGAGGGGGGGGGGGCAACACCATTTGGGGGCTAACACCTGCCTTAAGCAAACATCATCTATGGCTCCAAGAATTGTGTATGGCTTTCTGTCATAAATTCCTAGCATTGGGGCAAAAGTGGATCACGAGTCAAGTCGCAGAACTGAGATGGAGTGTTAAACAAAAATGGAGTTGCTTAGGTTTCTTAAAACATTATATTTCTTCCCTAGGGCCTTACTGCCCCGGCCTCCGGGAGGGGCGTTGCAGCTTTGGGGGGGTATGATTCTGAGGACTTTGCTCCCTTGGTCAAGGCTGTAAAGCCTTTGAAGTCTTTTACTAAGCAACTCTGGGCTCCCAGGCTGACATTCCACTACTGAGTAACTAAAACCAGTCACAGTTAAAATCATACAAAAACCATAAAATCATCTAGCACAAAGCAATTCGCACAGAAGCAAAAATGAGCGGTTAATAATCATAACTTCTAATTTCTATTACATTAAGCATTAATGTTACTCCATGCCTTTTAATAAATTCATTCAGGGGGTGCTTGCCTACTTTGATGAGGTCAGTCCAGTTTTCTTCCTCTTTTACTCCACTCCTCAAGGCTTAAGCAGAGTTTTTAGCAAGCAAAAGTACAGAAGCGAAAATGGCTGTTAGGTGCTGTCTATATATTTTTACGTTCTTCACTAGCCTTGAGCAAAAAGATGCTCAGAGATAGCAAACACCAAGATTCCGAGTTCAAGCCCCCAAACTGGCACCAAAAAGAAAAGTGAAACACAACATAATAATTGACATGTTGAATTGAAACCCCTTTGTAAGCTACTTAAAGACATTTCAGATCAGATTTTAAAAATAAAATAAAAATAAAAACACATTTATCAAGGGGCTATGAAAAATTAGATATTACATTAGATTTTAGAGAGAAACAAAATAAATGCAAATCACCAGACTCCACTCTAGTTAGACTTTGTTCCGGACTTGGCAGAGAAACAAAATGAATGTTAATTATCAGACCCCACCTTAGAGTTACTGTGTCTGAGACCTTGGAGGTGGGACCAAGAAACACAGATAAGTGAAAATAGCTCTCCAAAATCTGGTAGCTTTTGGGATGTCTTGAAACTTTCTGGATGCTTACTTGATTATGAAGTGGAGGGACTGGAGCTAGTAATTGGTAAAAAACCCTTCACACTTCACTGCTCTTGCTGTTTTCCCCGAAGGAAATTCTCAGGATTACAGAGAAAGTAGGTGAGTTTTTCCTCAATATTTATCAAGAACTTTATCATGCTTTTCTTCAAATTGCCAACTTGATTTTAGTACCTCTGAAATTACAGACACACACACACACATGAATGAAAAACTAAAAGAAGCAAAAACAGAGAAAAAAAATATAAAATGAGGCGAAACAAGATTAAGACCAGCATGAATTTAGTGCAGTTGTTATCCAGTTTTCTGCTTTTGATGACATGCAATGTTTATTCTGTCCTCTGATTTCTCTGTTTAATTTCTGCTGGTTGGTGTAAATTGTTTTTTTTTTCATAAAATATTTTAGAAGCACTTGCTAAAACTATGGCATATCAGCTGTAGATGCATGGTATCAGAGGAGTTTAATTCTGATGGAGAGTGACTTACAAGTGAACCTGTTCACAGAAGGATAAATTCATTTAAATACCAATAGAGTGTTAATAATAGGAAGTATTTCACATTTAATAGTCCAGTCAGGTCTCACAGTGGAATTAATATTTGAAACTGAGAAGTAAAGGAAAGAAAGAAAAGGGAGCCAGTATTACAAACACCAAGCACTGCAGTCTGGGGTAGCAAAACAAAACAGCAAAGGATAGGAATCTATAGGTGAGATTGGAGGAGAGTAAGGGAGGGGCAGATTGCTTGAAACTGGTAAACCATCTGGATCTTAATCTTATGCAAATAGGTAGTGATTAGAAACACAATATGGGTTTTAAAATAGTAGTGTACTAATTCATTAAGAGGGTTGGAGTGTGTGTGTGTGGGTACATATACACACACACAAACATAAAATGGGAAGAACATAGCTAAGTTATTGAAAGGATGGCCTCCATTGTGTTCAGGAAATTTGGAGTTGAGATTCTAAGAATTTTTTTGTGTGTTGAGGGCTGCTTAGCTATCAATTGCAAATGAGTTCCGGGTTCTAGGTGAAAGATTTAAATTAGGTGGGTGGTACCAAAATCTTTACAGAAGAATGAAATCTCTGTGGGGGGGAGGGGGAGATGATAGGATGTGGACAAGAGAATTCTTCCTTGTAGTCTTCTGAACCTACACTTTGGAGATAACCGAGAACCCATTGTACCCAGCCAACTGTCGGAGAACCACGCTGGTCAGGTAAGAAGGAAATCGTTTGTGTCTCCTTGATAGCTGGTCAAAGAATCTGCTCCTCTAGGCAGCCAGGCAGAGTCAATTGTCGTAACTGAGCAGGGGAATCTGAATAGGGGTAAACCCCCCCCCTCTCTCTCTCACTCTTTTTCTTATGCCAAGTTCTGAGGCCTGAACTCCAGGCCTGGGTGCTGTGCCTTTTTGCTCAAAGTTGATGTCCTAGCACTTGAGCCACATCTTTACTTTTAGCTTTTGGGGTATTCGTTTGAGTTAAAAGTCTCTTGGAGGGGGCTGGGAAGGTGGCTCAGTGGTAGAGCGCTTGCCTTGCACGCCTGAGGCCCTGGGTTCGATTCCTCAGCACCACATAAGCAGGAAGAAAAAAAAGCCGGAAGTGACACTGTGGCTCAAGTGGTAGAGCGCTAGCCTTGAGCTGAAGAATTGAGGGACAGCGCCCAGGCCCCACGACCGGGCCCCCTCCCCCCCCCCCAAAAAAAAAAGTCTCTTGGACTTTCCTTCATGGGCTGGATTTGAATGGAGATCCTCCGATCTTAACCTCCCAAGTTGCTAGGATTACAGGCATGAGCTACCAGAACACAATTAACACAGTTAATTGTGAAAAAGAGAGGGCTTCATTGTGACAAGTTACCACATTTATATACTATACTTTGATCAAATTCAGCCCATCTGTATTGATTCTTAACTCCCTCATGGTTTCATCCATGCAAGTCACCAAACCTGTTAGGATTAGTCAAGCTCTGGTCATTTAAGTGCCAAATTTGAGGATACACCTAAGACTTAGGCTCTTGTGCTCATGTGCTGAGGAGAAGCAAGTGTCTCCTTAAATTTTGCTCTTTATCTTTAAGAAATATGTAAGGAATGACTTACTTTCTGGCTTTTTCTCAGTGCTGGGGTGGATGTGAGTGTGTTCTTAAATTGGTGTCCTCTGAGCTGTTTTAGGATTGAGCCTTCCACTGAGCACTTCTTTTTGAATGACTTATGGAGAGCTGTTGGGCTATGCTGTTGCTTGTCATTAATGATCACGCTGTTGCTTAAGGTTGTCAGAAAACTTGAGAGAGGTCCTCTGATCTAGGGATACTGAAGGAATTTGGCTCTCCTGCCCCATGTGACTGCAAAGTTTGTGGCACTTGAAGAACACAGAAAGTGCTGACCTGCACTGCTTGCAGGTGCTTTCTCCTTGATCTTGGATCCTTCACTGTGAACCCTGAAGTTCTGAAGTCTGCCCGCTACACAACCTGAAGGAAATCTCCCCTGTAACTGTTCACTGTACAAGAAAGCATTCCACAGTAGACAAAAGCTGAAGAGTAGGGCCCGAGTCACAGCACAACATGGCAGAGGATGAGTATTGTGAAGTCCACCAGGAACCACTCCGTCTGTTCTGTGATGAAGACCAAATTACACTTTGCAACAAATGCTTCCAGTCCCTGGAGCACCACCGTCACCTGGTCTACGGAATACAAGAGGCTGCTGAGAAGGCCAGGAAATTGTTCCAGGAAATACTGACTGCACTAAGGGAGAAGCTTGAAGTGGCCAGAAGTATCCTGGCTGATGAGCAAGACAGAATGAAGATGATTCAGGTCAGTGCTTATCTTGATTCCTGGGAGAAAATTACCAGTAGTGTTAGAAATCAGATAAGATATTGTAAACAAAGGCAAAAGACAAATGACAAAGCAGGAAAAAATTATTTGAAATCCATAGACCGAAGAATGCTAATATTGTGATTGTATGTGTGTGTATAAAACCTCTTCAGAGCCAATAAAAAACATTAAAATTTCAATTGAAAGATGACCAAAGAAAAGAAAGTTTGCAGAAAAGAAAGTGCAATCTTATTGTTGTTCTTTTCCCCTTCTCTTCTTCCTTCCTTCCCTTCCCTTCCCTTCCCTTCCTTCCCTTCCCTTCCCTTCCCTTCCTTCCTCCCTTCCTTCCTTCCTTCCTTCCTTCCTTCCTTCTCTTTCTTTCTCTTTCCATCTTTGCTCCTTCCTTCCTTTCTTCCACTTGTTTCTACTGAACATTTGTTTTTGCAAACATGTTTTAAATATAACAGTATGCTGGACTTTGCTCAGGTAAGAGAACTACAAATTATACTAAATTGGTAATGAGGTGGGCAGTTGCCATCTTTGTTGGAAAGAATTTAAAAAGATTAATAACATTTTAAACAATGATACAGGAAAATATATCCCCTATTCTCTAAAATGGGGCTGCTTGTAAATTGTGAAATTCTTCAAAGATCAGTTTACGAATGGCTACCTAAATTAAGGACTTGCCATCTGTTTCTCACAATTCATTTCTAATTTGAAACCATGTCTTTATACTTAACTCTATTGTGCTCTAGGCATCTCAGATTATAGGCTTTCTCCCAATTTTTAAAGAATACAAATGTCCACTTGGTAATTATAAGGGAGAAGAATTGCTTAGTGATATGTGCTCAAAACAAATCTATCTCTCTCTCTGTATATATACGTGTGTGTATATTTGTCTATATACACATTTGTACACACACACACACACACACATACACACAGAGTCAATCAGTAGTGAGGACCCCCGATTTGCCAGGGATTGTGTGAGAGCCTAAGTATTTGACATTGCAAAAAAGGAGCTTGACCTTGTAGAATTTATTCTCAAGACAGATGTAATTCTAGGTTCTCAGGAGACTGAAATATCCATTTTCTTTCTTTCTTGTCTTTTTCTTTTTCTTTTTTTCTTGTCCATCATGGGGCTTGAACTCAGGACCTGATCCCTGTCCATGAACTTTTTGGCTCAAGGCAAGCATTCTACCACTTGACCCACCGTGCCACTTCCAGTTTTCTGGTGGTTAATTGGCGATAAGAGTGTCATAGACTTTCCTTCCTGGACTGGCTTTGAATCATGATCCTCACATCTCTAAGGATCTCATCTCAAAACTATCTAGGGCAGGAAACTCTAGACTATTTCTTGTCTCCAATTAAGTACCAAAAAGCTGGATGATAAAGAAGCACCTATGAGAAAAAAAGTTCCAGGACAGTGGATAATGTGCAAGCCCATAGTTCCAGTGCCAGGACCAGCATAATCAATCAATCAATCAATAGTTCCAATCATATCAGATACATAACTTTAAATAAAGGAAATCATTGAAAAGTATGAAAATAGATTACAGGAGGGTAAAAAAAATCCTAGGTGGAAAGCAACAATTACAATAATCAGAACCAGGTGATGGTGACATAGTCATAAAAGAGCTGAGGATAAATTATCATCTTGATAATTTTGATTCCATTGAGTTTCATAAGATTAAATATATTTTCTAAAATGGCTATCTATCTCTAACTCAGGCTTACAAATGGAAAAGTTTTATGTTCAATATATCCTAGCCTAAACTTTGAGTTCCTGATTTTCTGATAGAGGTATGGCTCAGTGGTAGAGAGCCTGTCTAGCAAGCACAAGTCCTGAGGTCAAACCCAAGAACTACCAAAACCAACCAAACAAACAAAAAAACCCAATCTGCCTTATTTATACTTTTTCCTTCTATATTTTGATAACTCCATTTTCTAGTTGCTTACTATAAAAACTTGGGTATCTTCTGTCCTTGACTCCATCTTCCATCAAAAGCATTAGTAAATCCCATTCATAAATACCTCCTAATTTTAACATTTCTCTTTTTCTTTAGTCAGAGACTTAACTTCCTTAGCATCTCTAAATCAGTGAACATTCTTTTATCTGCATTCCGTGTTTTAAGGTTGGGTTGATATCCCACTGATGGACTCAAACTCCCTCTGTTTTCTGTATTTATACCTTTAAAAACAACAGCAACAACAACAAAAACTCTATGCCTTGTATTTTCTTACTTTTATACTGTGGTTACAGATGGCAACGAAGTGTGGGTATGTGGCCAGGCTGTCATGTTTCACCTGAAATCTGTCATTTATTTCTACTTGAGAAAGGAAGAGGAGCAGAATCTTACAGAGATAATTGAGTCTGAATATGGGCTAAGGTTCCGGTTGTTGACTGAAGAGAATGAGCTGAGCTTGCTGAGACTGCAAGGGTGCAAATTTGACTTGAACTTGAGAAAAGCTAAGCAGAATCAACGGATTAGATTTTCCACTGAGCTGGAGAAATCCCAGGAAGCACTGCAGGTAAGATTTTGAGAACAATATCCTCATAATATTTAAGAAATAAGTGAAGGAAAACCAGAACATTAGGTCAGTTTCCTAAAATATCCAGTGCCAATCCCAGATGTGTCAAATGCATCTGTATACCCACTTAGCAATTCTGGTTCTACAATCAATAAATAGGCATTATTATTACTGTTAAAACATTACACAGTCTATATCAATCAATATGAAAAATCACAAAATGGTACTCATTGGAATATGGAATGTCTCTTTACCACGTAACTATTCTATTTATGAATTTATCTTCACAGGAATATAAAAAGGCATGAGTAAAGTAAAATATATCCATAAATTAATGTGTACCTTATAGTACTGTGTTATATTGTAAATGTACTTCACTGCCCTATCAAAAGACACAGATAAACTGATGGTGGCTCATGCTTGTAATCCTAGATATTCTGGAGATGAGATCTGACAGATCTTGGTTTGAAGCCAACTTGGCAGAGAAGTTGATTCAATTCCATCCCCAAAAAACCAGGACAGGCTGGAGTCATGGCTCAACTAGTAGGAAGCCAGCCTACCAATCAAGACAAGCAAGAGCAAGGCCCTGAGTATAAATCCCAGTACAGCCACAGCCACAGCCACACACACACACACACACATACACACACAAACACGCAGAAACACCGTACATTGAGTTTCACATAGAGTCAGAAGTCAGAATTAACTTTTAAAGGCACATTAATAAATAGAGTTCCTACTTGAGTTCTACTATCTGTCATCTATCCTGTGACTCTGTTTCTTTTACTATAAAATGGAGATAACAAGATATCAATGGTCCCTAGTTAATTAAATTGTTGTGAGTTTTCTTTTCTTTCTTTTTCTTTTAGTCCTGAAGATCAAAACCAGTGATTTAAGCAAATAATAATCTAGAGAAAGACTACTGAAAAATACCTTCTATATTTGAAGTGATTGATAAGTAGTCAGCATTATTACCACACTATCACTCATGCTTATTGATACAGTCTATATCTATCAATATGAGATTCCCCAAATCAGCCATACTGGTCACATCATACGGAGTAACTAACTTACCATGTACAAAGGAAACAATGGTTTTGTGTTTGTGAATAAGGAACAGTCACCAGAAAAATGCAAGTTGTCAGGTTAACAATAGAGAATAACAAGTCACCACTCATTCTTTTTCTTAAATAGCGCAATTATGTACTCTTGTGTCTGGGTGGAGTTCATTTAGAAGCGTAAAAAGAAAATGGATATCAGTGGCTAAATGTGATTGATGCAATTGATTTTAATTAATTTACAATAGTTTTAATTAATTTGGTAATGTAAGTATGAAGCTTTCTGTATAAAATGCCATAGCAGCCATGCATTAGTGATTTAGGCTTATAATCTTAGCTACTCCAGAGGCTAAAATCTGAGGCTCAAGGTTCAAAGCCAGCCCAGGCAGTAAAATCTTTAAGACTTTTATTTTCAATTGACTACCAAAATAAAAGCCAGAAGTAGAGCTGTGCCTCAGAGTGGTAGAGCACTAATCTTTTAGCAAAACAAGCTCAAGGACAGCACCTAAGCCCTGAGTTCAAGCCACAGAACTGGCATAAAATTTAAAAAAAAAAAAACAAAACAAAATAACTTAAATACATAAAATGCCACAGAAAAAATGGAAGGGATGTCTTTGAGATGCAGGGGGTAATCTGAGTCAATAGACTATATGCACACACATCCGTCTCAAATGTTAGAACAGTAAGTATCAAAGACTTGGTAGGTAGAGGTGTTCTGATTCATAGAGAAGGGTTTCATGGACTTAATTGATTATTTCCAATTCTGCGGTGGCAGGCAGAAAAACAAGCTTGTGAAGACATGGTTGAATTAGGCAGCAAGCAAAGGCACCAGATGTTGAGTAGTAATAAAGAAGTGCTTCTGCGGAGACTGAGCTGTTTGACCCGAGAGAACATGACTAAACTGAAGGAGAGCGAGGCCCGGGTCTCAGAGCAGCAATGCAGCCTCCAGAGGATCATCACTGAGCTGGAGAAGGAGTGCAAAGAACCTGCCTCATCACTACTGCAGGTATGAGCCGGGGAAAGAGAAGGGGTTCAGCTCTTAGGGGACCTTCCCAGAATGCCAGGTTAGTGATCTCCCACCATACACCAAGACTCAACAGCCATTGTCCATTGGCTGAAGGCGTTCTGCACACTGTTGGTGGGAAGGTGTACCACTACTAGTCGAGCCATTGTGGGAAACTGGAGAGGTTTCTCAACTGAAAATACTACTGTCACATAATCCAACAACAGTGTATAGACACTGTTCACAACAGCACCCTCCACTCCCCCAAGATAGAAGCAACCTAAGTTTCCATCATCAATTGATGAATGGACTTAAAAAAAAAAAAAATGTGGTGCCTTCACTCAGCAGTATACTCTTCAGTCATAAAAAGATGAAATCATGCTGGTCACCAGTGGCTCATACCTGTAATCCTATCTAATCAAGAGGCTGAGATCTGAGGATTGAGGTTCAAAGACAGCCGATGAGGAAAAGTCCTTGAGACTCTCATCTCCAATTAACCGCTCAAGAAACAAGAAGTCAGCTCTGTCTCAAATACTAAATGCTAGCCTTGAGCAAAAGGAGCTTAGAGACAGGGCCCAGCCCCTGTCCTTATTTGTTCATTCCTATTTGTAACAAGTTGGGTTGAATTGGAGGTTATTAGGTTAGGTGAAATAAACCAGGGAATGAAAAATGAATGCCATTTCACTCTTGTGAAATCTGGTGGTCACCAAAGTGAGAGGACAGCATTGGGAAAGTTGACTAATGAGAGCTAAATTATAGATAGAAAGGTATAATAAGTTCTAGTGTGTTCTTAAACAGTGTGGCTACAGAGAATGATAATATATTCCATATTAAAAAGATTTTTATTTGGGGGAATGGGAATGTGGTCTAGTGGTAGAGTGCTTGCTCAGCATGCATGCATAAATCCTGGGTTCGATTCCTCAGTACCACATAAACATAAAATAAATAAGAGAAAAAAAAATTTTATTTTTTCCTTTTTTTTTTTCTTTTTTGAACTCAGGGCTACACACTTGCTAGGTAGGCAACTCTACCTCTAGACCTTTGATTATTTTTAAGCCAAAGTTGTACTCTTCGCCTGAACTAGACCAGATCACAATCCTATTTCAGACCAAACCTGAAATGACAAGTGTGTACCTCCAGGTCCAGCTATATGATCGTATGAAATGGAGTTTTGTAAACTTCTTTATCTGGGCTGGCCTGGAACTGAACTCCTCCCAATCAGACTCTTAGGTAGCTGGGATGACTGGTGCTAGCCACCACACCCAGCTTGAATGGTTTTACTATCAAGAACTGATAAATGTGGGGTGGCTGTGTGATAGCTTATGCCTGTAATCCCAACTACTCAAAAGACAAAGATCAGGAAGCTCATAGTTTGAGGCTAGCCAGCCTATCCCCCATCCCCCATTTAAAAAAAAAGAAAGAAAGAAAGAAAGAAATGAGACTCTTATCTTTCAACTAAGCTGGGCAAAAGGTACACAAATGTAACCCCAGCTACATTAGGATGTGTAATTAGGAAGATGGTGATTTCAGGCCAGTCCCCCACAAGAACGTGAGATCTTACTGAAAAATAACTAAAGAAACAGAGAGGAAGCATGGCTTGAGTGGTAGAGCACTTGCCTAGCACTTCAGGGCTTTGAGTTCAAACCCCAGTACCCCTAAAAACATTTTTTTGAGAAAATAGATTTAAACATTACTATATATACATATATATGTACAGTTTTTGTTTTTATGCATTGGCTGAAAGTAAATTTAACTGTGGAAAGCTTTGTGAATGGCTATAAAAGTATACTTAATGGAGTGCTACTTCCTGAAAGGTGTTCTCATACTTTAAAATTATCAACAGGAAGTTTGAATTGATACGTGCTTCAACCGTGTAAATAATTAAAGTGTGATACATCTACTCAATGTGATGGTCTACAAACCATAAAAACTTAATCACTTCTGTGGATGCTAAAATAATACCTTGTGATAATTTCATTTACTGGAAAGAGAAAAATGCAGAATGACTTTTTCATTGCATTTTATGGGGAAAATAATACATGGAAGTATGTAAGTATTTCCTAATACTCACAGATTTTTCTCTGGAAGAAAACAAAACAAAGAGAATCCAAAATCACAGGCACAGTAACCAGCAGGTTTATAGTAGTTACTGCAGGGAACCAGTGGCTTTCCTTGAGATACAAGGGTGTAAGTATTTTCTGGGAGTTGAATATTTGTATGTCCCTGGGAATTTATGTATATGTACATACATACATACATGCATGCATGTATGCATATATATATTGATGTCCTCACCTTGGAGAGAATAGTGTTAGGAGATAGAACTTTGGGTGCTGATTGGCTTACTGGCTTCTGGGGGAGCTCTCCTGAATGAGTACTTAAATAATACCTCTTAAATGCCACCAAAAGCCTTACCCCTGTTTTACCATCGAGGTTAGATTGAGGTCACAGCTGCCTCACCAGGCACCAGATGTAGCCAGGACTTTGATCTAAAAGTTCTCAGGCTCCAGACTACAATAAGATATATAATCTACTATTATGTTATAGCAGCCTGAGCAGACAATTTTATGTTTAAAATTTTAAAAACGATCTTTTTTTTTTTTTTTTTTGGTCAGTCATAGGGCTTGAACTCTGGGCCTGGGTGCTGTCCCTGAGCTCTTCAACTCAAGGTGAGTGCTCTACCACTTGAGCCACAGTGCCACTTCCGATTTTCTGGTGGTTTATTGGAGATAAGAGTCTCACGGATTTTCCTGCCTGGGCTGGCTTTGAACCACTATCTTCAGATCTCAGCCTTCTAAGTAGCTAGGTTTATGGGCGTGAGCCACCAGCTTTGAAAGACTACTTATATCCCTTTTTCAGGTCTATGTAATAGACTAATTTGAAAAGCCTATCTCTTAGTTAATTACACTTAACTATAAGCTCAGCACCCATAAACATTGCTATTCAGGAGGCTGATATTTGAGGATTATGGTTTGAAGCCAACCTAGGTGGGAAAGTATATAACAATTTTGTCTCCAATTAACCAGCAAAAAGCCAAAAGTGGAGCATTGACTCAAGAGGTAGAGCACTAGCCTTGAACACAAAAGCTCAAAGACAGTGACTAGGCCCTGAATTCAAACTCCAGAATAGGGTACAAATTATATGATTATGTGTGTGTGTGTGTGTGTGTGTGTGTGTGTGTGTGTACATACATATATATATGTATGTACATATTTACACATATATACACATTTCTAAAGCTATTTATATATGTTGATGTTTGTACATCAATTCAATTCTAAAGCCAAGCTTATTTCTGGATGTGAGCAGGTGTGACCCAATTATACTCAGCTCCTCACTTGGCCCCACTATGGTGTTGGTCTAGTGGACACCTCCATCTGCTCACATCTTACCATTCTAACAAAGAACACAAATATGTAGGCAATTCTAAAAGATGACTGTGCTGAATCAGATGGTTGAGGTGAGGTAGAGGCAAAATGTTTTGCCTCAGAATATAGCAAAGGCATTTTGAGCATTATTTCTGATGTTTTCTTAATCCATGTTAATATTTGATATTTAAAAATTGGCACTCTGAGTCTGAAGAAATTCCAAGGAAATATAAAGTTCAAATTATAAGGGTGAATATTTTCATGGGTTCCACACTTAAAATGCTTGGCTCCAATAGGACAGTCATAATAACTTTGTTTCTTTTCCCCCCTAGAATGCAAGATATAATTTAGAAAGGTAAGTTTTCATTTGGAGATACTGAATCTGAACCCAAAGTCTTATATATTCAGCATACATGGGTTGGGTATGCTGGGAAGGGATGGGGAGGGAACTGTGGCCTGTACAGGTAACTGAGATTGTCATTTATTTTTTCAACAGGAGTGAGTCACTATTGCTTCAGTGCCTAAAGTCTGCTCATATCACAGACCTGAGTTCTTGCCAGATAAAAGGAATGAGCAAAATGCTAGCAGTGTTCCAAAGTGAGTTGACACATGTCCACAACTATAAGTATGTTTGAGAACCAACTGATCATATTACTACAGATGAAAGTAGATTCTAGGCTGGGTGACAGTAGCTCATGTCTATAATCCTACCTACTTCCAAGGCTGAGATGTAGACTTGTGGTTCAAAGCCAGATCTCTGTCCAAGTAACCAAAAACATTCCAGACTGGAAGTGTGGCTTAAGTAGGAGTAGAGTGTCAGCTGTGATGGTGTCAGTGGTTGTGTGTGTACAAGTGTATTGAGGATTCAAACCACAGTCTCTTTGCACATATAACCACTGAATTATACTCCCTGATTCTACACTCTATACATACTATTATTTCTGTTAGTCTTTTAAAGATGCTTGCCTAGCATGCATGAAGACCTGAGTTCGATTCCTCAGTACCACAGAAAACAGAAAAAGCCAGAAGAGATGCTGTGGTTCAAATGGTAGAGTGCTAGCCTTGAGCAAAAGAAGCTCAGGGACAGTGCCCAGGCCCTGAGTTCAAACTCCAGGACTGGCAAAAATAAATAGATAGATAGATAGATAGATAGATAGATAGATAGATAGATAGATAGATAGATAGATAGATAGATAGATAATAAATTTAAAAAGATGCTAAGAGTATAGAACTTATAATTTAAAGATTAAAGCATGTGGCTAGAAGAACTCACTCACTCCTAGATTAGATGTTAGAGGAATTTAATTTAAAAAATACAGTATTTCTTCTGATAATATAACCATCATCAACTAAAGCAACAGGGTACAATTTATTAAGAAATAGAGACTGAGAGCTGGGCACCTGTGGCTCATGCCTTTGATCCTAACAACTAGGAAGCTAAGATCTGAGTATTACGGTTCAAAGCCACACTAGGCAGGAAAGTCCATGAGACTCTTATTGCCAATAAACCACCAGAAAACCAGAAGTGATGGTGTGGCTCAACTGGTAGAGTGTTCCTTGAGCTGAGGACCTGAGGGACAGCGCCCAGGCCCAGAGTTCAAGCCCCACAACTGACCAAAAAAAAAAAAAAAGCAATAGAGATTGGGGTTGGAGTTTTATTTTGGCTGTGTTATGCTTGAAATTCTCTTCATATCCAACTAGTTAGTATCTCACAGTTTGTTTATGTAGTAAGTCAGGAGGTATAGAAAACATTGAAAATTAGGCTATGTGAGGTCTTCTCAGGCAGAGAATACAAGTCATAAAAAGAAGGAACTCATGATCAAACCCTGAAAAAAATCACAATATTTGGGTGTTAAGCAGAAAGGTAAGAGAAGAAATAATCTGAGATATGAAAAAGTCAAAAACCGCTTTGCACCAAGTATAAAAAAAAAATCTCAGTGAACTTGGTTTTGGTTTGATTTTTTTTTTCCCCTGGGTGATTCTTACTGGATTTCTAGCCTTCACTAGTAAGTGCTACTTTGAATTACTTAAGATTAAGTGAACGCTATTTGCAGTTTTAGGAGTTTATACCACACTTGGAATATTGAAAATGAATAGAATGATCAAATGACAGAAAAGTCGTGGGTCAACTGTTGGTTTTTGTTTGTTTGTTTGGGCATGGGGCTTGAACTCTGGGCCTGGGTGCTGTCCCTGAGCTCTTCAGCCCCGGGTGAGCACGCTACTTCTTGAGCCATAGCACCTCTTCCGGTTTTCTGGTGGTTCATTGGAGATATGAGTCTCACAGACTTTCTTGCCAGGGCTGGCTTTGAACCACGATCCTCAGATCTCAGCTTCCTGAGTAGCTAGGATTATAAGTGTGAGCCACTGGTGCCTGACTCTGTGGGTGAACATTTTTATAGTAGGTAGCAAGCAGGATTTCTGCCTTAGAAAAGATCTTCAGGAAACAGGTTATATCCCAGGTCATATCTATGGGGGCAGACTACAAGGGCAATTTTAAAGACTCTGAGTTGATGGGAGTTGTAAACCTCTCCTTGACCTATTCATTATTTTGTTGTTGCTGCTGTTGTTTTTCTCTCTCTCTCTCGTTCGATTGTGTCCCTTTGCACAATTGCATTAACTTCATGGTTCCCCGATGTTCATTTCTTGAGTCTCCTCAATTCCTGTGCTCTCCTTAATTGGTCTCTGCTATGTCGGTGCCTGAGGCTGTGCTCAACCATTGGGAAGTTCCTGAAAATAAGAAACCATATCTGATATTTCCTAACTTTCCTAACTCAACTTTTCTGTCCCTGCAGGACATATAACTTTGGATCCTGAAACAGCTCATCCCTCCCTGGTCTTATCCAAGAACCTGAAAAGTGTGAGACTCAGAAATATCCAGCAGGATGTGCCTGGAAAGCCATGGAGGTGTGACTTTAGTGCCACTGTGTGTGCTGCAGAGAGCTTTTCCTCGGGGAAGCACTACTGGGAGGTGAATGTGGAAATGGCATCCAGGTGGCAACTGGGTATATGCAGTGTTACAGACAGAAAGGGCAACAGGATGGAAGCATCTGGAAATAAAGTCTTACTCATGGGATCCATGATGGGGACTGATTACACCTCATGGGTCTTTCCTCCTTTAAAAAAGATCTACTGGGGGAAGCAAACGCATAGAGTTGGAGTCTTCCTCGACTACGAGTATGGGCAGCTGTCATTCTACGACGTGACAGAGAGCTCCCTCATTTATCATTTCTCTCACCTCACCTTCCAAGGAAATATTAAGCCTGTGTTTGCTCTTTGTACTTCAAGTGGAGACTTGAATTCAGATTCTCTCACTGTCTGAAATGTTTACAATGAACTCTTCATCTCCTGCTAAATATAAGATCACAGGAGATCAGAAAACTAAGGGCAAATCTCTATGAAGTAATTATCTAAAGTAATTCAATGTGATACTCCAAATCCCTGGCATTGATGTGGTTTCCAACACCTGTTTAATGGAAGAGATTGTATTATAAATTATAATAACAACTCTATACACTAATTAGAACAACAAGTGTGTGCGCATCATGAACAGGAGATAGTAGAGAAGAAATATTAAGAGTCTGAAGATCTTAGTACTAGCAATGGGAAGGACTATAGACATATTTCTGAAAACACAGGCAGACTTAAGTATATTCAAGACTAAAAAACAAGATGCTATGAGTGTAGCCATCTAGGGTCATACTGAATGAAAGTGGTCACATTGAAACATCTTATTGCTAACAGTGAGTTTCAAGGCTTCTTAGCACTTATCCTTACGTGTAAAGAAGAGTAGCAATCTCCCTGGAGATTTTTATCTGATAGCAAGGAGGTGTCTCCCTCTGTAAATACGCACGTATACTCTGATAGATCAGGGAAGCTTTTGAATGAATAGACTATCATGGTGGATCTAGATAATTATAGTCTTGTTTATTTGACTACTAGAGACACACCTTAAATTGACTTCTTAAAAATGTTAACAACTTCTAAAATATTTCTTTTCTTTTTTTTTTAAACTTCTCAACTTTATGTACCTCAACTCCTGGTACCAGAAGAAACAATAAAGTAAGAAATAGACAATGATAGTTGGTGTGCTCAGTGGCCCTAGCTTTTTGTGCGGCCTGCAAGTTTACATTTCAAAAGGTAAAGATAGGGAGGTGATGTTGTAGACTAGAAGTAGTAGGAAGCAAACTTGGATGAACCTTGTTTGTAACCTCATAAGTCACAGGCTAGCCTGCATACTATAGTTCAAGATTACCAATTAGAGGTTGTTTTAGGAAGATGGCTTGTTCTTAACTGAAAGAAATGGTAGTTTGGCTGAAACAATCTATTTGAGGCTCAAAGAAGAAGAAAGAAGTGTTTTTTTTTTTTAATCTTGTATAACAAGATAAAGAGAACATCAATTCATGAGGACTAGAGAAAGAATTTAAAACTTTGATTTGTTGGATTTCCTGAGTGGAAAGTGATAAAACACTATCAACGAGACTCTGAAACTTAAAAAAAAAAAAAGGATATAGGTAGGCAATGAGAATAGATGGAGATAGTTGTATTTTAGTTGTTGTCTTGACAAATTATGAAGTGCTTAAAGAGAATGAAACTTCTGCCCTGGAGAGTATCAAGTGTGAGACAGAACTTACCTCCACATAGCAATAGATAGCAATAAATTAATGCAGTAGGAAGTATAAAAAGAAAAGATATTAAATGTGAAATTACATACATTTTTAAAATAATAATTTCTTGTAGACTTGCTATCTACCAGATACAATTCCAAGTGCTTCTTGTTACCTAAAGTAGTTCTTTTAACTCGCAGAGACCTTTTTCCTTAGTTTTGTTGAGGTGGAAATAGAGCCAATAAGTTCACAATCACCAAATAGTGATAGCTCCAAATCCTTGAAAAAAACAGTCTCTATTCACAGATTTATCTACATAAAGGTATTCAAGGTCAGATGACTGAGGTTGCCTGGAGGGGAAGGTGAAAGTAACTGGAGGTTGGCAAAGATAGGAAAGTTAAAGCCAGATGGAGTAGCTCATACCTGTATTCCCAGCATTTGGGAGGTAGAGGCAGAAGGACTAGCCTGGATAGATAATAGTGATACCAGGTCTCAAAAATGAAACAACAAGAATTTTAATAGTTAAATCTACATTTTTAAATGCAATTGAGGGAAATATTTCTGTAAAATATTTTTTAAATGTGTTTACATTTGTATAATAAAATTTTGAATGAAATACAGGTTAAAACCTTACTTGAATAAGCCTTTTTTTTTCTTCTGAGTGTTTTAATGGACCTTGTGTTCAGCCTAAGACACAGCCTAATCAGCTAAAGATGTCCCAGTAATTGTGTTTCTTGTCTCAGGTAGGAGAGCTATGTGGCCATTCTAAATACCTGTTTGGAAAAGCGGGTGGATTGGGGGAGGGAAGGGTCCCTATGCGGATCTTTACAACTCTTGTCATTATTCTTTGTCATGTAGAACTTCTGTAGCTGAAAGCTATCCTGATAAGAGTCAAAGTTTCAAATAACAATGAAGTTTAATCTGGGAGCTTATAGACAAGTGAATTCTCTGCCTGTTGCGGATGATTGCTCAAACAGAAAAAGTAATTTCTGAGTTCGTAGTATGTTGGGGATGTGAAGGAGGAATACAACATTCTCTACCTCCTTAAAAAAAGATGCTTATGAGCATCTTTCCCTCCTGACCCATGTTTTTATTGATTTCAATTTGCTTTCAGAGTACAGTTACATTTATGTGGAATCCTGGTCAAGATGAATTGTTTCATAAAAATAAAAACTTATTTACTTAACTTAAACCTCTTTCATACTTCCAAATTATTACATTAGCTTCCCTTTTTTACTTTAACTCTCCCTGAATCTATTATAAACCAAGCTGTCCTCTAATAAAGACTCTTAGGCCCACATGGTTCTGTCCTCTATCAATGTTTTTGACATGTTTCTTTATGGGTTCAATCAGAGCCTACTGAATTTCTAAAGTTGCCAACCTCTTAGGAGTCCCAAGCTTTATATAAACGTTGAGATCTGACTTTGATGATGCACTTTGAAATCATCATTGACTCCAAATTTGCTTTGCTCCCATTCTCTGTTAAATCCATTAAGATTTTTTTCCTTTCTTTTTATTACATTAGTCCAAGTTCTGTCATTCATGTCAATTTCTTTACTTCCTCTTATTTCTCTTCCAATCTTGCCTTCCTCAAACATGCTCAGAGAAAACCATTCCCTAAATACTCTCCCTAATCCTGCCTCTCACTCCATAAACTCTTACCATTCATTATTTTCTTCATAGCCTTAAGGATTACCTGAATTCATGCTACTCATTTAATTTATTTACCTTCTTTTTCTGGATTATAAACTCCCTGTGCCAAGGGCTTTGAATAGTAAATAAGACAACCAACAAATATTCATTAAGCAATTGCCATATGCCAGGTATTTATTTTACAAGAAAGAACAAAACTGATTCCTGACATTAATGAGCAGATGAACCAGTTTGACTTGAGAGCTTTGAAGTATAATTTGTCTAAGGAACTGTTTGTTTTGTCAAGATGATAGATTTTTAATGAAATCGACTTCTCTAGCATGTACACCTACAATATTTCATCATGATCCATTGGCTATTATGTTTTACTGATTATGTCTCCTGAATATTTGAAAATAAAAGATGAAGGCATTACCAAAATGATAGAGAAAATTTCCAAGATTACAGCAACAGCTAGCAGAAGATCAAGCCAAGGACAGGAGATTCACACAAGATACCTTAAAAAAAAAAAGTCAATAGAACTGATTATCTGATAGATGTTTGACTATATTAAGAAATGTTTTATAAACCCATAGGAAAGTATGGGAATGAATTTGCATTTGGTATGTTAAAAAAAGGAAAAATTAAACATAGAAAAATGAGATAATTATAATCTTCACTTAAAAAAAACTAAGTTGTTCGTTGGTGGGGGGGGGGGGGGGAAGGGGGGGCTGGGGGGGGAGGAAGGAGAAGGATTGGGATTAGGGGGGGAGGGGGGAGGCTGGGAAGGGATGTGAAGGGTAAACAAAGGAGGAGGCTGCAATGCTTGGTAAGAAATGTACGCATTATCCTGCCCATGTAACTGTAACTCCTCTGTACAGTATGTTCACAAATAAAATTAAATTAAAAGAAAAAAAAAAAAAAACTAAGTTGTTGATTAGTGAAGAGCTTATTTGCTCAGCTCTAGATAATTTTGTTCACATATGAGGTAGAAAATGATTTTATCAAATAGTATGAATACAATATAATGAAATGATAGTGAAGGGAAGTTGGCCATAGAGAGTAAAGAGTGTCAATCTTTGTTTCATAATCGAAAACTTGATAATACCTAAAACTGAAAGTTTAAAATATCATGCAAATTCAAGAGTGAACTAAGCTGAATATTCCTTGTGCCTATGTAGCTAGAGAGAAGAGATAGTTTTGGATCTGTAGTTTTGCTTTGATTTTTTTTTTTTTTTTTTTTTTGCAGGTCGTTGGCCTGAATTCTGGGCCTGGGCACTGTCCCTCAGCTCTTTAACTCAAGGCTAGTGCTCTACCACTTGAGCCACAGTGCCACTTCCAGCTTTTTCCGTTTATGAGGTGCTGAGGAATCGAACCCAGGGCCTCATGCATGCAAGGCAAGCACTCTACCACTGAGCCACCTTCCCAGCCCTGTGCTTTGATTTTTAAAATACACTATGTATGTACTTTTTGATCTTAGTAAAGTATGTTTTTTTTTTTTTTGGTAAAAATGTAAATTAAATTAAAAGAATGAAGACTGGGTAAATGGTGTGCTATTTTACTTTCAGATAACTGAGAAAATTTGCATGTCAAAAGACAGGAATATTAAATTATTTCTATGACAACTATTCTAGGAAGGATTTTTTTGGGTTTTCTGACTGAAATGTTATCAACATTTATGATTGTCCTATGAAAATCTAGGAAGTAGAAGCATACATAGCTCAAACGGTAGAGTATCTTCTTTGAACAAAATAGCCAAGAATGCATGAAGTCCTGAGTTACAGCCCAGTACCAGGGTGCATGCACACACACACACACACACACACACACACACACACACACACACGAAAGAGAAAGAGTGAAGGAAAGAGTAGAAGGAAGGAAGAAAGAAAGAAAAAGGAAAGAAGGACCCATACGCTTTTAGAAGGGAAAAAATGGAAAACCACTGAATTAAGGAGAAAAAATAAGACAAAGCAAACCAAAAAAGTCAAGACAGTGAAGACCCATGGCACTTTTTTCATAAATGATTCAATCTTGAGCAAATAAAGTGAAATATGGTTTTAAAAATGAATCAGTAAACATTTAATTGCTGTAGACTTATAGAAGTTGGCACATATGAGCAACTTTATAAGATAAAAACAAACTAATACAGGGAATTATTCTCTAAACAATGAATTTTTAAGAAGAGAGAAGAAAAATGTATAAAGCTTTTCCAACTTGGAATTGGCACAGAGCCCCTTAATAAGTTACCCAGTGACAGACTTTGTCCCCAGATACCCTAAAATGTCTCCTTTATCTTGTGTTTAGCTGAAGACTTGTGTTGCTAGGCTATTTGCCATTTGAATAGCTACAAATAAGTTGGAAGCATTAGTTTGAATATGGATGGTGAGAATTACTTTGAAAATTTTGGTTATTATTATTATTATTGTAGTCATGGGGCTTGCACTTGGCCTGGGCACTATCCCTCAGCTCTTCAGCTCAAGGCAAGCACTCACCGCTTGAGCCACAGCACCACTTCTATTTTTCTGAGTGGTGGGCTTTGAACCAGGATCCTCAATCCTCAGATCTCAGCCTCCTGAGTAGCTAGGATTACAGGTGTGAGCCACTGATGTCCAGCTAATTTAATTTTGTGGTGCATGGATCTTGATCTCTGAGCCTGCCTGAGTCCTGTCCCTCAGCTTTTGTGCCCAAGGCTGGTGTTCTAACCACTTGAGGAACAGCTCCACTTTTGGCTTTTGGGTGGTTCATTGAAGATAGTCTCACAGACTTTCCTGCCTGAGCTGGCTTTGGACTACAATTCTCAGATCTCAGCTTCCTGAATAACTAGGATTACAGGCAGGAGCCACAGGCACAAGACCTTATTTTGAATATTTAAAGTTGATAAAAGGAGCAGCTTGTTGATACTTTGTAAATGAAGGGAGTAATCTCTAGGGTGGGTGTCCAAAAACACATCTAGGGACTGACTGTATTGTGTTCTAAGAGTATAGATGCATTCTACTGACAGTTTCTAAATACATCAGGCCCATACATCTCTAGAATTTTTGATTTATTTTACTATTGAGTAGTTGTCCAAAGAAGTTACAGTCCCATAAATCAGGGTACAATAAGTACAATGTATCTTGATCTGTGTCATCTCTTCCATTGTTCTCTGTTTTCCCCTCTCAAGTTAGGTAGTTTAATTTTCATATAATGTACATTGAATATAATGACTACATTTGTTCACCCTTCCTCCCTGTACTTGTAGGCTGCCCTCCCCCAAATAATTTACGAAAATGTATTTTCTGGCCAACAGCCTGTACTCAAGGTGTTAGGCTACACTCATTCTGAAGACTGTAAATAGGAATTCATTCTTGACACCTCAGCCTCTGGGATTCTAAGAGCAGCTGTTTCTACATGATCTTCTCCTTTTCTCCTTTGTGTCTCTGTTAATTTTTTTATTGTTATCATAGATGGGATGTACAAAAGGGTTACAGTTACATTAGTTAGGTAAAGAGTACATTTCTTTTTCGACAATGTCATGCCTTCCCTCAGTCTCTCCCAGTGTTTTCCTCCCATCCCTACCTATAAGTTGTAGAGTTCATTTTCAACATAGTATCTGTGTGTTTCTTATGAAGACACTTGTCACTAGAGTTAATGCTCACCCCACAACCCAGAATGACTTCGCATTAAGCTTTTCAGCCTAATTACATCTGCAAGAACTTTTTGGCCAAGTAAGTTGTGTCAACCTAAATTAAGTTGTGTCAACCTAAATTAAAATTAGAGAGACATTCCCTAAAGATTAATTTATTTGGGAGAATAGCCTACAATGAAGTTACACATGCCACAGGAGACCACAGGGTATTCAGGGAGGTTTAGGCAGGAAAGCTGTTAAAAGGAAAAAAAAAAAAAAAGATTTACAGGAGCCACTTGGAATACAAAGTTTACTGTTCTTGGAGACTTGAGGCAAGAATTGGCAGTACATCATAAC